GAAGTTCCTCATAGAAAGGACTGCTCATCTGCCTACTGTCACTCACATAGCGCTGCCAAAAGCGGAGGTGGAAAAGGGATATAAAAGGCTTGATGGAGTGCCATGGCCATCAAAACCTAGCAAGTTAAATACTCTGTAGGGCTATAAAATACTGATGAGATTTTCCTTATCCAAAGCAGTCATAGCTGTATCATTGGAGAATCAGCCAGGGGAAAACCAAGCAGCACATATCTCAGCAAACGGTGAACCTCGCTTTGAGCCCCTGCCTAAAATAACTTCTGCATGTATTCGCTGTGCAAGCTTCAATCTTGTGCAGCACCTATTTGTATTTTTACCAGTGCCAACCATAAAGCAGAGAGCTGTAAGCAGCAGCTTACAGCTTTTTACTTCGGTTGTAAAAACATCACAGGTGGCCCATTCCAGATGAACCCACAACTCCTTGCAAAACGCAAAGCCAACTGGTTTTATACACGGTTGTTCCCCATAAGTTAGTTTCAAGAAAGCCACCTTCTTAGAAGGAAACTTTCCAAGTGCAGACAAGCTCTCAGTTAAGAAATGGCACATGGCTAGAGGTTAGCAGAGTATGTTATTTTACTTCTGGCAGAACCTCAAAGACTTTTCCCCCTCCTGTGGTCTCCAGTTAGTAGGAAGGCAGAAGAAGAAAATCTAACTCCAAGTACTGAAAAGTAGCATCCTACAGCAAAGCCATGCAATGACATGATTTCTCAAATTTTCCAATACCAATATTTTGTCATGCCAAAGGCTACAAATTAAACAGGAGAGATATTTCTGGGACTTCTGTACAACACATTACCAAATCCAAAGGCTGCTCTTCTTGCATTCTGTATTTATAAAGCAGAAGGCATCTCAAGTTAGTCTTGTAACTCCCTGGTATGCAGTTGAGCTAAAAACTTTTTTTAAAAGTTTTTAAATTTTTTTTTTAATTTATTTTAAAAATTAGTCCTATGACAGGGCTTTGAACTCTTTCAAAGATTTAGCTTGATAAACTGATCATATTTTAAAGCTTTCATCAGACTAATTTAAATTACTTTGTTCCATCACCTAAGTTATCCAACAAAACAGATTTTATATCTGTTTTAAATTTCTGTTCTCAAACGTCCTGCATCTCCCACGTTTGCAAAAAAATACAGTAAACTAACACTGGTGTGAGGGTGAAAGAAAGCAGTAACATTACTGAATCACTTTAGACTAACTAATAGGTATATTCAAAACAAAATAAAAAACACCAAGCAAAGTATAAACATACAATTAAAGTGAAAAGATTCAACCACCACCTAGAGAAGTGGATGAAAGGCAGATTTCATTCAAAACATCAAAAATTGAAATACTGGTTTTGGATACGCAGAAAAGTTAATGTTTTGAAGACATTAAAAAAAAAGCCAAGACAAAAAAGCAACCATGCCCCAGTATGAGAAGTCTGCCTTCACAACAGATAGAAAATACCAGTTGAAAAAGTGAATGTTTTATGAAATTTGATTTGGGGAATGTGACCCATTATTTTATTCTCTAAAGGAAAATCAGGGCAAAGCATGGAGAAGAAAAAAGAGATTAGTATATCACATGGAATGTGCAACAGAATCTTGAGCTATTCTACACCATTAATTTCTGATGAAAGGAAATTACATTCTGGCCCTGAAAAGGCAAAGAAAACCCTAAAACCAAAACCCAAACAAAAAAAAATCCCACCCAGTTCAGGAAACCATTGAAAACTATAATCTTTCCTCCAAATACACACATGACAACTGAGCCTCATTTTTAAGAACTACATATGCAATCCAAAGTTTTGTAATTCAAGATTCTCAGAGAAGTTTGTTCCATAGCACAAAGGAAGTACATAGTTGAAAGAATACCAGCAAGAACTTAACAGAACTAGCACAGAAATGTGATTGCAAATTGATGTTTGGAAATAATTCCCCAGATTCACAAACCACTTTCCTGTTATTTTAACTTTTTTTCACCATTTAAGATTAACAGTCAGTGCCTCTTATACCCTCTTTTCAAACAGTCTCTGCCTTGCAGTATCGGTGACATGTAAATTATCTCCTTATGGAAAAGGCAGAAAAACCAGATGGGGATCCATTAACTTAACTCTGTGGAGGTCATTCTCTTTGCCTGAACAGAAATAAGGCAAGAATGTCTGTACATGACTGAGGATGACTCCAGCCAGCCATCACCCTCTCTGACAGCAGCAGATACATACCAAGAAATCTAACAAAAGGGCAAGAACACAGTGCTGGTTTCCTAATAGGCCCTCCCAACACCCAGAAATCCCCACACACACTAAATTTCACAACTCCGTTTCCAAGCAGCCTTCTAAAACTCCTTCAAAACAAGAAAATGGAAAAGAAAGAATAAGACCCTCACACTCCACTGTTGGTCACAGAGCAGCTGTTCAACTTCACCCAGTCAACTACTAACAGTAAAGCTGCACTCTGAATGTGGGACACTAAAACAACCAGAAAACACTCCTTCAATATCCTTGCTTATTTGGATTGCTTCTTGGAGGTTTATCCCTTTGCCTTTTTTTTAATGACATCACCACACTGAATACATTTATTTTAAGCAAAGGGGTGGGGGGGGAGGGAAGGAAGGCAGGCAGGCAGGCAGGCAGGAAGGAAGGAAATCGTACCTCAAAGTGTGCAAGAATTATTAAGTACATTAGAAATCTGCAAAAACAGTTTCCGTCAGTTAAAATGCCCATGCTTTAAGTTAGTGTTGCAAGGCCGCATGTTCGTAATACAGAAGTTTACTATCTGGGGAGAAAGACATTGTAAAATCCTTTATGTATAGCATAACCTCCATTGCTGAGAATTATGACAAGCAGGCTGCAACAAACTGACAAAATTAAAATGTGCTGCTGACAGGGAGTTAATATCAGCACATACAACTGTGACTTTTTACAGGTAAGTGAAAGAGAAAACACTTCTCTTCAGGAAAACACTTTTATTGTGCACAAGAATTTCTTAGAGAGGGCCTGAAAAACTTTTATTTCCAGAGATGATAATAAAATAATAAAAAAACTCACTAAAAACCCAACCAGTCATCAATCAGTGATTGATGCATTAAAAAGGGTGGCTCTGAAAAATACTTTGGAAATAGAATTTATTTAAAATCTGCAGTGAACAGAGCCTGGCCTATTTGCTGCAAGAGAAAGAGGTTTGAATTATTTACCATGATTATCTTTCTACTGAATTTGGTCTCTAGTGTTTGGGTTTTTACTCTTTATAGCTGTATCAGTTATTAACTATTAAATTAGTTATGCAAATTAACATTCTCATTTAAACACTTAAAAATGCTTACACTGATTCAAGTGAAAAGGTCCACCAAATCCACCATGATGTCTCCAGTTGGGGCAGAGAGCAGATGCACAGGAAACGCAAGCATAACAATAGTGACATTTGCCAAAACCTCTGTCTCAACCCTCAAGGTTGCTGAAGAATTTCTTCAGCCAGTTGTGATGTCTACATACTCAGTAACCTCACTGGGCTTTCCTTCCATGACTCTGTTAAATCGTCGTTTAAAAATTCAGACAGGTTTAAAACCAAGACTATCTTATATCACAGAGTTCCATAGCCAAATTAAAATTACATTAAAAACTTCATTAGTTGGTTTCTTTTACATCTGCCACCTTGGACAGAATGCTAATTCTATCCCTTTCTATGCGACTCGTATTTCACATCCCTCAGTTGTCCTTTTTCCATTATTAAAAAAATTAATCTCAGCCTATTTAATCAGTCCCCAAGTAGAAACTGTTCTATACTTGTCAATCTTTATACTGCTTCTGATTCCTACTGTACCTTCTTTGGGATTTACACAATATTTAAATACACAACACAGATTAATACACAAACACAGATGGGGGGTTTTCTGTGTTTTTCTTTATTTTTTTAATGATATTTGCCCCCTCCCCTATTGGGCACTCCCAAGAACAAGAGTAACTTTTTTCAAACAAAGAATCTGCTCAGTCAACCACTCTTTCCCCAGGTAAAGTCCAGACTTGGGTCATGAGCACCATTTTCCAATTATTTGCATCAAGTTTTATCTGCCATACTTTCACTATCACTGTTTGAGGAGACACTTCTGTAATTCCCAAAGATCAACTCTATCTTCATTACCCCAACTCAGTTAACACTAGCAGGTTTTCTCCACCCACTAGACACCCCTCTTCTCCAAACCGCTCAGGATTTTGGTTTTGATGATCAGAAAATGACTCAGGTTTTATCAGAGATCCACATTAGCTGCACTGGTGGCCTCATACCACAGTGCAAAATGCAGGATATTCCCAGTTATTCATCTGTGCAAGGACTGATGCTCTTGTTCACAACTGATTCCTTTAGAGTTTTGGGTAGGAGCTTTCATGGGTAGAAATTCTCAAAAGCAATTGCTGAGATAAAGTAGAGAAGGAAAGAGGGAAAGAAAGTCAGAAAGAGGAAAAGAGAGAGGAAAAAATGAGGAAGAGAGGAGAAGAGAAAGAGTGAAAGAGAAAGAAAAGAGAGCAGGAGAGTTCATTAGTTAGTTATATGTAGGTTCACCTGAAGATGAACTTATGAAAAATGTTTCCCAATCTATCCTGGATTGTTTGTGAGCAGCTAAACACTTTTAGTTTAAACAACTGCTATGACATTTTCCCACTAATTTTCTGTAAAGGTCAAAATCAGAAAAACAGTAACATAAAAACCTCACATATGCGGCATATTCTTCTTAGCCAAGAAGCACCAGTCATCCTCAAAGTGTCTGTTTCTGTAGGAATGTTCATTCAGAGTTATTTTTTTCTTTTATGACTAGACTACAATGTTTTTCCATCTTTGCTTTTGGGGAAAAAAAATACCTTGATTAAAAATCAGCAAGACAATAAAGCATCTAAATTTTTCATATTTCAACACAAATAAATCTTTAAAGAATAACTTTAAAAAGCTACCAAGTCTTCCATACATTAGTAAACTGTGTTTACAAATCAGATATTTTGTGTTTTATCTTACCTTTGAGCCAGCCACAGCTTGCTTCCCATACAGGTAATGATGTCATACAGTCCCTGCTGGAAGTCCAAACTAACAAACTGGTTTGATTCTAGGTACGACTGCAGCAAGTGAAAAACCTAAATTAAAAAAAAAAAAATTCAAATGAAGAGTTTCTAGCCACTGCTTTTCCTTCAAATAACTACAAGATGAAACAGTCACCTGCAAAATGAACAACCATTACTCAAAGAAAAACATGTATTCACTTGGCCTCACAGCAGACAGAATCCTTAAATCCTTAAGTTGCCCTGTCTTCAAAACTCATTTTTCACACAAAACAACAAAGTGCTGGAAGATGTTGACCTCCCTGAAGTGACCAGAAGGCAGCTGGATAAACACCGCTCCTCAGGTCTTTTTCAACTTAAGCTTCCCTCAACTTTCAACTTTCTTGCTGTGCCATTTGCTCCCCAGTGCCAGCACAACTGCCTGGAGAGCAGACTGGCAGCTTGGCACACTGGATGGAGCAGGGCTGCTTGCACTACAAGTACAACCAAGGAGACAGGGAGGGGAATTATCATCCATAACCACTCTGAAGTCCTGACAGAAGAGTATCTTTATTCTTGCTCCTGAGAACCTTAATTCCAGGCCCCAGTCAAACACTGTGGCCAGCTGTGTTTCACAGAGCAGGAAGATGCTCACACTTTCCCTTTCTGAGGACTGAGCTGCTGCGCTGGGGTTCTGCACTTTCTCCTCCAGAGTTTCTTGTAAAAGCCTAAGAGACATGTCCAAGCTTTGATGATGGGAAGAATTCAAGGCACCAGGATAGAAAGCAAGACCATAGCTTTCTGGTCAGATAGTTAAAACAAAAAATATACATCCTCAGAGAACCTCTTTGCTATTTAAAAACAGGTTTTTCCAAGTAGCATTGAATATATAGAAAAGTGTTAAGAAAAAAGGTTTGTTTGTTTTTTTTTTTAAAAGTACAGTCACCTAAGCATTAAATGAAAATATTGGGTAGTATAAGAAAGCTGATGCCAACTGCACAGTGCAGAAAAGTGTTAAGAAAAAAGGTTTTTTTTTTAAAGTACAGTCACCTAAGCATTAAATGAAAATATTGGGTAGTATAAGAAAGCTGATGCCAACTGCACAGTGGAGAGGGTCTCTCAAGCCCAGCCCCTGTAGTGCCCATCCTGCATGTGACAGAGGGTGCATGACACACACTTGACACAAGTGACACCACCCCTATCATCCCACTTGGTTTTAACTTTTCCCACTCACATGCAAGTGAACAGAAAACACCTAGGTGAGGTAATTTCTAAAGGGGAGCAACATGGAAATGTGTGTTGCACTAGTGAAGCCTAATGGAAAAGATCTTATTCAGCATAAAGAATTTTGCCTTACAGCCTCAAAATTGGAAATTCTGTTAGCTTACATAGCTAAGTTACAGAAGGGGCTCCTATGAAAACTGAAAAAGTACATCCCCCATTATTCACTGAAACTGACCATGTGCAGAATTTAGGAAGCTTAAGAGATATTATCAGACCATTTGTGAAAATACATATTGTGAGCATTTCATATAGAAACACTCTTGATATGTAAGAGTATTAGTGCTTCATACTTGCAAAGTGACAATTTAATGACTAATGGATCAAGCTGGGGCCTTCACTTCACTCTGGGAAAAGAAAAACCTTTGTATGCAGACTTTTAGATCTCAGATCGTGATTTCCCACATTCCAGCTGTCACTTGCTCTGGGGTTTCTATTTTTTTGTTTGTTTGCTTGTTTTGGAAACACAAGCACTGCCACATAGCATTAACTTGACACAATTTCATCTGGGTTATTTTTTGTGAAATCATTCTAGTGGAAAAACAGCTGCAGTCGTTTCAAATAAGCACAGAAACAGAAGAGATGTCAAGAGACTAATCCATACAAACACTGAGGCAGGGTCTGAACATTCTTTGATGAAACAAATGCCTAACTGTCTTCATCCTGAAAACAACCAAGAAAGCAGATTCCAAAACACTTGTATGCAACTCCTCTAGTCTTTCACCCTCAAAATCCAAGCTCTTGAGGGAAGGTGTTCCTGTCCACTCCCACTCCTGCCCTCATAGCAAACAACTGTTCTCTGGACACTATTCAGTCAGTCCAGATTTTTTCCTAGTGAGGCACTTATTAAACACAGAGATCCCACTGGGGCCCTTTGAAAGGAACAATGAAATAAACTCCTGTCTCCCTTTGTCAGCAGGTGCTCTGTAGGCAAGACACATCCTGGAGAAGTAGCTTGTCTTTCATTTTTTTTAAATCTTCTGAAGTCCTCTGAACTGAACATCATTTTGTTGACAGCATCTTTCTATGATGGCCTTTCCAAGATCTTTTTGAATCTTTATCTTCCAGTTCCAAGATCTTTTGAATCTTTAAATCTTTACCTTTTTCTACAAAACACTTTGCAGAAGTGCAAGCTTGCAAACATTTTGAAGTGTCACCAGAGATGTATACCTTGTCCTCTTCTTTAGTCTGCTCCTTCCTGTGCAAGTGTTTGCTTATTAAAACGGTTTACGCAAGTACCTACTCAAATTAACCTTCTTCATCAAAACCAATGCACTAAGCTTCCACTGCTAATAGTTTCTCTATATTATTTGTGGCTTGCCCTTAATGCCTATTAAGTCATAGACACGACAGAAGAAGAACGAAAATGGAAAATAATATTTATGCAGAAGCTCTTATTGCTTTTTATATCCTCTGATAATTGAAAACCATTTGGTGCCTTAACCTTTCAAATTTTTTTCTTCTGTGCTTGTATTCATTTCCAGGAACGACAATGGATTTGCCTCTAAGCAATAATGTAAAATCTGTTACACAATTATGAAGGGGCCCTCATATTTTTTCCTAGCAGATTAAATTAATTTAATCTCTTCAGCTCTGAAAACAACTGTCAACATGCCTTCCGTGTAGATGCAGAAGTAGTTTGACAGTTCAAGCTAAAGGTCTTGAAAGAGAAAGAACTGTGTATACTAAGGAGGCAAAATGGTGGATTTAAATTTGTCCAGGTAGGAAATTCAGTACTGAAATGCAACCAAAACTACTCTGGAGTTAATTCTTTGTATGAAACAATCCTTTCAATATACACTGATGGTAAAAATCACGGGGCATAAGCCCTATTTGAACAGTAGAATTAGAAGGGGCAATTTGCGTGAGAGTTTGATGCACTCTTGAAAAGTGCTTGCATCCATTAAAGAAAACATTCAATTACAATTTAGCCTGTTCTGGCTTTTTCTGACATACACAGAATCCTGATTTTATTGTTATTTCACTGCAAGCCCTCTGTCTTTAATTCAGGCACCTTCTCAACATTTTAGACACCTAGAAAGCTCTCCCCACAAAGAAATTATTTTCTCAGCATGAGATTTTAGAATGCCTAAGCTAAAGTGGAAATCATAACTAACATCAGCATGTTTTATACAAAGCCTTATTTTATGTAAGCAAAAATCAGAGGCAACCAAACAAGCAATGTGTAAAAGTTAACCTCAGTAGCTCTTCACTTCCATTGCTTGTGATGTGTCATTCTTTGGCTTACATGATCTAAGACTACAAGCCAGGCAATGAGAAGTTTGCCAGATTGCATGAGGAGGTAGCAAATTTTATGAGACTGTTTGATATAGCTAATGAAATAGACAGGCTTTCCAGTGCATGGCTCTCCTCAAGTCCTAAATACTACATTATTTAAAATCCTCTGCTGAATTCCTCACACATAAATGCAGTGAGGTCATGGTGTTCCTTGTGTACGTAGCATTCTTTTTTTATTACACAAAGGCAATATAATGATTTTCTTTTTCTTTTTTAAAGGTAGTTTAGCCAAAGATTTGCGCTATCTGTGGAGGAAGGTTTATGCTGGCTGACAGTGGCGTCTTTAATGGATACAACACTTCACTGAGACAAGATAGTTCTGTGGAATCCTGCATTAAAGACAGTGAGTTCATGGATGCCCAGAAACCTTTTCCTCCCCTATGCAGGCTGTTCAAGAGCCAGGATAATACACCAACAGGACAGCAGAGACTGTCCATCAACCTGGACAAGAGTTGTTAAAACAGTGCAAGCCATGGGAAGTCCAGATACTTGGATACATAATGGGACCTGAGACCACTCAGTCCATGAGGTTCTAACTCTGAGTCAGCATGTCCTAAGCTGCTGCAGGTAAAGCCCCCTGGATGGGAGAACCACTTAGTGCAAAATAGACAGAAAAAACCCAAACAAACTCCACCAAGCCAGCCCGGGTGTGACACTATATCCTAATGAGAAACACCCAAGGACTCAGCATGACAATGAAGCCATGTTCTTCTCTTTGGCCATTCCCAACTTCCAGTACCTTCCTTGGAGCTGTCAATGTTTCACCCTGGTTTTTCATCTGTAGAAGCCTCAAGAAAAGGGGAGAAAGCAGAGAAGTGTGGGGGAAGGAAGAGAGGAACAGCCAGCTTGGTTCCCCGCTGGTCAATCAGCACACACATCCTTCTGGCCTGTTCACATCCATCCCCCACCCAACAGCGTGCTTTCAGATGCAACACTGACACCCTGCCCCAATATGAGAAAGTTGAGTGTTTTCTTTTACTCAAGCAGGCCTTAAGACATAACATCTGCTATTTTCTAAGTGTTCATTTTGGATGATTAAGTGGAAAAAAAATGCACATTGCTTTTTTTTTTAAAATAAAAACAAATACTTAAATGGTTAGACATCAGCTAACTCAAAAATGTAAATCAGCAAGAGACATTTTTTCCCCTACACTAACTTTCATATGATATGATCATTATCTTTAGCAGCTCTCATATCAGCTTGAATTGCTGGGAAACACACAAAATAATGAAGCAATGTAGTGATGGAGGAAAACTTGTAACAAACACCAAATTTACATAGTGCAAATCTATTTTGGTGGCAAGAGTTCTCCTGCATACATACAGAGACACTGTAAATACAGCACAACCTTTCAATAGCCACGAAGTTGATCTAGCATGACACACTTTGTAACAAATTAAAATTAACATTTCATAGCATTAGCAATAATTTTATAGGAGGTACTAAGGTTCCTGAAATTTATAATAAACTTTTAATTTCCAACATAAAACAATGATTAGGTGGATACCTTGTGTAC